ATGTAGACTTTTACTTTGTCTGTATCCTCAATAGATGAGGATATTGCGTTAGCATACTAATGATTCAGTGCGACATTTATTATTAAGAGGACACGTTTGAGTATTTCTGCAGTTACATAATTTTTGTTTTTCTTCATTTCTTTTTATTATACTTTTTAAAAAAATTTGATTTTCGTTTAAGTGTTTACTCACGATATTAGCATTATATTTCTTAATAATCATTTCTAAGTTTTCAGTACATCTGTAACTTAATTTTAAGGTATTTTTATTAAAAATTGTACTGAGTAAGAAAATGTTTAACGATTAGTGCAAAGAATTTTGGTCCTAATGTGTTTTTTACCATTTGTTTGTATGGGGATGTCTACCAAATGATTTTTCTACTTTTGTTTTTTCTATGGTTTCCACTTTCATTTTTTATATAATTAAGTTATTGGCTTTTGTAGCCACTATTCTTTGAGCTTTATTATAGAAATTACTATGTTCATAGACAATTTTCTCATTTGCTGAATGATTAGAGTTAAGCTGTATATACAAAGAAGTAGTATTGTTTTTTTTATAAGGCATGTATATATTATTGATTAAATCTAATATTATATCAAGGAAGTTCACCTTTTCAATTTAGTACTTACAGTAATTTTCAAGTAAGGCATTTAATTTTCCTGTATAATAGTTTTTAATTTTATCAATTTTAAAGTTTGTAGAATTCTTTATAACCATAAGCCCATCATCTCTGTACAATCTAATGTCAGTTTTACTAATTTCGCAATATACTGTGAAATTGTACAATATAAAAAGACCGATGAGGTCAATCCTGGGCTTAACTGAGGGATATATATATATATATTGTGTGTATCTCCAACGAATTAAATAATATTTATGTTGGTCACACCACAAACTCGCTTTCACAACGCTTGACACTACATTTGAATGAAAACATTTTTAGGCATTTAAATCAACATGCCTGGCCTCATACACAATTCCGTAAAATCCTTGTCGAAAACACAATTATACTTAAACATGAAAACAATAAACAAAAACTAAAAATTCTTGAAGCTATATACATAAAACAGTTGAAACCTAACCTAAACAAAATAAACTATGTAATCTCCACAAATATCCTTAAATGTCTATAATTGGTAACAGAGGCCATTGGTTTATGCCAACGGCTTCCCATACTTAATACTTCTCGAATTCACTCTTGCGTGGTCATGTGTGACGTCATGAGCTGCGGTGCGATTTTCGCTTCCAGCGTCTTATATGCACGTGTTTATCGTTGCTTGGAAATCATCCATGTAAACAGAAACAGACTATCATCACATTCTTGTCCGTGTATTGCTTAATATATTGTACTGTAATTGTCATCTTTTATAATGGCTTATGTAAGCCTAAAGCTTAGATTGGATTAAAAAAAATATATATCAATATTGTGATTTACTTTCTTCGTTTAATGATAATGTTATTAAGCTTATGAAAAGAATTTGCATAAAATAAATAGACAACACTTGTCTATATTATTTAATGAAACATGTATGAATATATATATATATATATATATATATATATATATATATATATATATATATATATAGCTAGCACGAAGAAACTCTCCATCTGCCTAAGATATGTAGATGATATCTTTATTTTAGTTAAAAACATAGAAGAAATAATGGAACTCAAAAACCTTTAAAAAATTCTGTCCTCAGGTTTACATACGAACTTAACAAAGATAACAAAATCCCTTTACATGACATTTTAATAGACACAAATAACAACATTCTTACTACATCTCCACATAAAAAAAACTAACCAGAAAAGCTCTTGCATTCTCTATTATAAGAATGAATGTCCAGATTACTACAAAATCGCACTTATACAGAATTTAATTAACCGATCACAAATTAATTCTTCCCACCAAAAAGATTTTCTACAATGAACTAAAAAATATTAAGCAGACTCTCATTAATAATGACTTCCCAAACAACATTGTAGATGAATAAATAAGACGATTTATGAAAAACCTCAAAACACGTCAAATAGAATATAATGCTTCCCCAAAGGACACTAAATATATCAAACCACTATATTGTAACTAGATGCATACTAACTACAAACAGGATGAAAAAAATCATAAAGAATCTCATTTATACTAAAATATCTTCCATAGATTTTAATAAAAATATAAAATTAATTATATTATAAAAATTACAATACAACCAATTTAATTATTCGTAATAATTCCTCCCAGCCAATTGATATATTACGTAAAACCAACATTATATACCAATTTAAATGTCCCTTAGGAGAATATATCCCCGACAAAAAACAAATATATATGTTGGATGGGTATACGGCAACTGCACTAACAAGACGTCTTACACTACACATGTCTGACCATTCGTTCATTGCGAGACATCTACAACAACATTACTGTCCATATTCACAATATAAAAAATTACTAATCGACAACTATCTTACACCAAGAAAATAATAAATTCAAGCTACAAATCTTAGAAGCAATTTATATTATAAAATTAAAGCTGACACTGAACAGAATCAACGAATGAATACTACAGCAATGTTCTGAAATGCCTATAAAGGAACAGTTTTTTTTTCATGCTTTAATGCGCGCATGAACATGACATTATAACATAGAGGAAAAAATTCCATAATGGATATTTTTTTCACGTTCTAATGAACGCTCAGCACATTGTCAACCGTTTTGCATTTAAAATCATAATGAAGGAAGATTACAGTAATAGATAACAACGCACAACTGTGTATAAATACTTATTCTAATGTACAACATATAGTTTTGTACTACTTGCACTACTGAAGATGATCTTGGAAGAAGATCGAAAGTACTTGGGTGATGTAATGGAATAACCAGTCACCCCCATGAATGATTACACTATAGGTGGTAAGTAGCTATAAAGTCAGCTGTCTACGAGAGACTGGGGGAAGAGTGAGAGTGAGAAGACGCAAGCACGTCTGACCTTTCAATTAGTCGCACTCACAACTAGATTGACCTGTGTGTATAACTGTACCGTATTTCATATTGTACTGGTTGTGTACAATAAACCTTTCTTCTATTATCCACCTGGTGTTAAGTATTTAGTCCCTTAGCATGGAATATAACATTGGGAAATGAAAATAAAAGAAATTTAAACAGTTATAGCACATTTCTCTCATCCTTTAACATCAATACACGGAAGGTTATTCGTGAGTATGAACGGATTTTGCTAAAAATTAGCAAACAGAATGTCTGTAATTTATTCAATCAAACATGCCTAAAAAAGAATTTGCTGCCTAAACACACACACACACACATATATATATATATATGTTAAATTCCCAGACCAATTCTGTGGACAAGACAAATTTTTCATGTCCACGGACCTGGGAACTTAACTATATTGTCGATATGGAAAGGAAAAAAACTCCTAGTATAAATAGAATTTACATTAACCAGAAAGAGGCTTACGCAGAAGCGTCTCTCTTTTTTAAATTTGGATTTTGTAATGTAGCTATAACAACAAAAACACTTCGATTTCACTTTTGTCTTGAAAAAGTCGGAAGACGAAACGCGTCGCCAAAAAAAAAACTAAGATTTTTTCCAAATGTCATCTTATAACATATTATATATATATATATATATATATATATATATATATATATATATATATATATATATATTATAATACGTGCTAATACCCTTGGGAAAAGCGTGAATCCTTTTCTTCTCCCTCCAGCTATGGGTAAATAGCAGGACAAACTTGATTCTATAGCCTTGGATGGCAACTTGTCTAGGAGAAGGACATTCTGAATTTAAAACCTGCTGAGGGTCGTTTGGGAACCTTGTGGCACTTAGTGCACCAGGTCTCTGTATTCGGTCCTTCAAAAAGTGTGGATGGTCCTACACGAAACCTTCACCACTATAATTAAATCTCATGTGCTGTTTTCGGGCTGTCGGTTTCCTTGGAACTGATCTGCTTGACCCTCATACGCCGAACTCGACGGGAGAGTCGAGAGTGTGTATATATATATATATATATTATACATATATAGTATACAAATTATAATATATATATTATACTATTATAATATATAGTATAGTACTATATAGTTAGAAATTAGAAGAATGGGGATGGGTGACCTTTAAAATGTATGAAATTGACTTTTGGTTTTATATTACAGAATAGATAAGTATTACAATTGTTTATTGTACAATAAGTATTACAATTGTACAATGAGCCCACTGAAACTTAAACAGATAATGTATCAAGAAGAGCTGTAGAATAGGAATAAACAGCCTCATATAATTTTGAAAGTGATATGTATGTCACTTTCAAAATTAAATCTGAAGGGATAAAATAAGCCAAAAAAAATCAACAACAAATAGACGATGTTAGATGAAATGACAATTTTATAAAAATGACTTCGACCTGAAATTTTTTCACCCGCATAAATTCATCCTTGAACAATTGCAAGCAGTATTTTTAGAAAAAGTGTTATTGAATAAGAAAATAAAACAACAAAAAAAAACGTATTTCATCGATGGATTCCGTAAATTTAAACGTTTACGGTTGAGAAAATAGGTTTCGTTTCTAAGTCTTCAGTTGACTTTCGTCAATAATTACGTTAATCATTTTCTTTGTCTTTATATAAATCTTTGTCGACTTTTGTGAGTCCAGTTGCACATATGAATTTATACCCAACAAAATCGGATATAATAGTAATAACTCCCCAAATATAGAAATGACTTACAACCTCTGCCCCATAAAAATTGTTACTTTTAGTGTATGAAATATGTATGCAAACGTAAAGACAATTATTGGACAGAGTTAGTATTTAGTATTTTATACTGAAGGGTGAATGTTTTAGCCTCGCACGTTAAAAGGCTTTGTTCAGATAAAAGTCGAATTATTGAAGAATTGTTTCATTCAAATCCCATAATAGTCATGTTTTTTTGCGAGTAGAATTAAAAGCCGCTATAGAATATTTCAAGCATCGTCTACGGGCGTGGAATGGGATATCGTATTGGTGATACGCTGTCGTGTGCCCATCGAGAGATCTTCTGGTTCGTCTTGCGTCATTGTTTTAGTCCAGTTCAAATGAAATGAGTTTGCATAGTCGGGCAGCTGCGGTATAGAAGCTTCTCCATTGTTGAACTGCATAAACCCTTGCTCTGTCTTGATATCACTTGATTTCAGTAAAACACTTTGCGGGCTCTCATTGGACCTCAAGGGTGAGGACGATGCGGCCCCCATGAAAGCCGATGGGCTTGAAACACGAGATAGCTTTGAGTTCGTGGCAAAATTCCTGTCGATAGAGTTTTCCATGACCTGTCCAGGAGTAGAGATAAAAGCAAGGTGCCCTTGGTCCAAGCTCATGCCGTTTGAATGTAAGTGTTCGACGCCCGTGGCCGATTTTAACGCTGAAACGCCGTCAGAGATCATGTGCGAATTACTGCTGTGAAGATCGTTCGAATATGCTAATACGCTGTGACTGTTGCTGTTTCGTCTGGAGCTCGTGGACGGGGCTTGATGACTGCACAGATCACTGGCTTCATTTTGCTCAGAACCCGACTGTGCTGAACGACACGAATTGGAATAAAATGGCTCAAGTCGATAGTGTGGCCTCGCTCCCCGTTGTCCCTTTTTTATGTCTTTTGGCGACTGCATGAACCTGTCAAAAGAGACAAAAATCTTTCATCAAGAGGAAAATGTTTCATGTCAATGCGTCTCGTTCGTTGAGGAATTTTATCAAGGTATGTTTAAAATGTTTATTTAGTAACCAGTATTTATACACAGAGGTAACGCGGAGGAAAATGAAATAATGCTAAGTTTTCAGATTTTAAATTTGAGAACTTTCTTATGTATTCTATAAAATGTAGAATATCAAATAAAGAGATTCGTAATGTTCGTAATTCCAATAATGAGCTTTCTCAGCTGTGTCTGAACAAGAATAGACATTATTTGGAACAAAGTCAATAAATGAAATCTGTATTTATTTTCTTTAATTTAAATCATAAAATTTAGGCATCTTAACGGAAATTTTTCTCGCCCGAGTCAAGACTTCAAATCTACAAATCAACCATGCATGAAGTATTGCTGCCATATATTGTCTGGAGCCGCTTCTGTTTGTCTCGTCTTTGATAAAATCCAAAGACGGATATGCAATGTAATTGGCCCTGATCTGGCATCTCACCTGCAGCCGCTCTCTCACAGACGTGCCGTCACCTCCCTCTGTCTTTTTTATAAATAATTTCATTGTAACTGCTCCAATGAGCTGCTTTCGCTGGTTCCCAGACTTCATGAATTTAAGCGTTCTACTAGGCTGGCATCTCGCCCACACCCTTTCACTGTCGAAACTGTTAAATGTAGCCGTCTCTTCTACTCCAATAGCTTCATGTCTCACACCTCTCGCCTGTGGAACTCCCTCCCCATTCCTTGTTTCCCTGATAGCTATAATCTCCAACTATTCAAATGTAATGTGAATCGACGTCTCCAGATGCCCTGATCTATCCCCTATCCTTCTTTTCATCTTTTCCTCTATCAGTCCTCTTTGCTCTCGCTCCATCTCTCTATAACCCCTTGCATGCTAGTGGCTTCCCGCCTTGTTTGGAGGGAAACGCTTAAAAAGATTGTATTAACAAACATTCAAAGTGGGTATCGATTGTTTTTATACACATTGTATTTCAAAGACCTCTGATAGTAGCTCATTGTCGTAGTGGTAGTGGTGATTGGGTGGTGGTGGGGGGGGCTAACGTGGTCTAATGACTTTGAGATCGATGCTGTCGGAATTCCTGGTAGGGTCACTCTTGTTGGCAAAGTCGAAGACGAGGATTCAGACAAAGCGCGGCCAACCATAAAGACTCCAAAGTTTGAACTAGTGGATGAAGAGGGCTACGCTTGACGGACATGCTACAGAAGGCGCCACTAGAAATTATAACAGGGGATGGAATTATATTCCCTTATTATATTCTTTTCCTTGTTCTGCCTTCCAACTAGGTAGGTTACTCGCTGCTTTCTCCTGTATCATCATGACGTGAACGATCATGGCACTCCACAACCTCCTATACTTTAAAACAATGATTGTCTTTTTACTATCCCTTCCCTCCCCTATTTTGTCAACTATTTACACAAGCTCGTTAGGTACGTTACTCGTATTTTCCCTCTATCCCTTCATAAATTGGCCGATTAAGGCTCTCCACAACCTCCTATACTTTGACTCTCTAAACAATGATTGTATTTTTACTATCAATTCTTCTCACTGTTTTGATATCCATTTACACAAGCTCGTTAGGCAGTTTCCCCTATTCATCACGTGGGTGATGATGGCTCTCCACAACCTCCTATCATTTGAAGCTCGAAACAATGATTGTCTTTCTACTATCCATTCACCTCTCATTTCTGTCATCTATTTACACACACTCGTTAGGTAGATTAATCGCAGTTTCCCCCGTCCCTTCATGTCATAGGCGATCATGGCCCTCCACAACCTCCTATCATTTGAAGCTCTAAACAATGATTCTCTTTCTACTATCCCTTACCCTTTTCTGCCATCTATTCACACAAGCTTGTTAGATTAATCGCAGTTTCCCCCTATTCATCATGTGGGTGATGATGGCTCTCCACAACCACATATGGAGTACAGAGTTTTTATTCTCATGATTGCAGTCATTAATGTTCTTGTGGAAATCTACACCGTCATTTGCCAATACTTACTGATAAGTGAGTCTTTGTCCGGGAACTTTTTTGATGATCTCCATTTTGTAGTAATAACGTAGAGCTCGAGATAGCTTCTCGTAAGTCATAGTCGACCTGCTTTTCTGGTTACCCCACAATTTGGCTAAACCATGAGGGTTAACGATGCGAAAGATGAAGCGATCTTTGTTATCCCAGCAAATATATGTGCTGTACTCGTTGTTCAAGAGCAAGTGATAGATAAACTCCCAGAGTAAGCGGCAATCTGAAAAGACAGAGATTTTTTCTTTCTTATTTCCGGCACTCAAACATCGAAGCAAATTACTAACAACATTTTAGAGATTTTAAATTTTTTCACATACGCACATATATTTGTATTATTTTTAGTGTAAACGCTCCTTTTTCTATTAAACGGCAGGGTACTACTCGGACACCACCCTAGAAGTGATGGCAAACCTAGTTGGAGCCCTGGTTTGTAAGCCTTATCAATATTAGCTTTTTTCTACGTGCATTTATATACATTACATATTAAACTACGCACAACTTTTAAACAATGAAAAAAAAAAAAGTATCCGCTGATTTTGATGTCATTTTGCGGTCTTTTTTTCGTTCAAATTTATGAATTTGTTTTGTTCATACTAAAAAAAAAAACAATATATATATATAATTCACTATTTTTGATCCAGGATATGGAATGTGTTAAAGTTATTCAATTTTTAACAAGAAAAACCTCAAATCGATGTTAAAAATTGTTGCAAGACATTATTGATTTATTTAAGATGTAATGACGTCTCTTATTTGCATTTAGATACATTGCATTTATTTAAAATATTTCTAGTTGAATTGTTCACCTATATTGCATAGGATCCATTATTGTACATAATTAGGTTACACTAAAATTTATATTTTGTATGAGTTTTATATTATGAAATTTAAGATGTAATAAAGTGTCATCCCCATATCATACTTTGGGACAAGGCATGACAGGCTTTGTATTGGCCCAGTTAAGCAGTATTTATTTCGTCTACTGGTTGGCATACACGAGAAAACAATTTCGCCCCAAGCAAGGTAATAAAGCCACTAAGATACAAAGGGGGGGTAACTGATTGTGAGAGAATAAAAGAAAAAGAATATATATATATATATATATATATATATATATTATATGCGAGGTACTAAGTGAAAAGCACTCAATATCAGTGATAAATCTAACATAATAAGTTGTATGGATATGAATATTAAAAAGTCGATTGAACAATTTTGTATAAACGGAAGAGATTTCTTGAACTGTTTATACAAAATTGTTCAATCGACTTTTTAATATTTTAATATTTGGAAATCATCTTCGAATACGTTTTCACAACATCGCCCACGTGACGACGACGTGATCATATTTAAACGGAACGCTGATCTTACATAAAAATTTCAGTTATCTGTTTGGATTAGTTGTGCTCTTATGTCCATCGTCTTTGTGTTAAATTTTACATGTTCTAATGTTAATTATGTTTTAAATGAAAATGTCCATGAAGATGGTCTTAAATAGACCGAAACGTCCGACGTCGACTTTATATTAACATTAATACTACATAATTGCATATTATTCAGATTTTTGTTTGTTTTTTTCTGTATTTTTCTTCATATATATATATATGTATATATATATACATATATATATATATATATATATATATATATATATATATATATATATATATATATATATATATATATATATATATATATATATATATATATATATATACATATACATACATATATATATATATACATATATATATATATATATATATATACATATATATATATATATATATATATATATATATATATATATATATACATATATATATATATATATATATATATATATATATATATATATATATATATATATATATATACATATACATATATATATATATATATATATATATATATATATATATATATATATATATATATATATATATATATATATATATATATATATATATATATATATATATATATATATATATATATATATATATATATATATATATATATATATATATATATATATATATATGTGTGTGTGTGTGTGTGTGTGTGTGTGTGTGTGTGTGTGTGTGTGTGTGTGGTGTGTGGACGGCCAACACCCAGAGGTGACAGTTTGTTTCATGCTTAAAGGTAAACCTCAGCTGTGAACACTGACGATTTTTAGGTAACTCCTGCAGCCAAGCGACCGACCCCCACCCCCACCTGCTCCCAAATGTAATACCCTGCTTTAGATCTTATCGGTACGAAGCTGCGAATGGCATCCATATAGACCATCGTTCAAGACTACGCCCAGGTGAGGTCACTCCAATTTTCTGATCAAATGACTGACTTTTGACTAAACAGACCGCTTCCTTTATCTCTCAAGATGAACGGATGACTTTATTCGTTTATGCTCTGAGCTATGGTACCTTGAGATTTTGATTTTAAGCGTATTGCCAGACTGGCATCAAGACAATTTAGAGTTGAGCTGGCTAGATGTAGCCGTAATTTCTATGCTAACAGTTTCTGTTATCGCACTTCTCGTGTGTGGGACTCCCTTCCGACTAAATGCATTCCAGCCAACTTTAATCTGCAAAAATTTTAATGCAATCTCAGTCGCTATCTACTGCCCTCCTAATTACTCTTCCTCTGTCCTTAGCAATGTTCCTGTTTCTAACATTTTCACACCCAGTAACCCCTTGCGTATTTTTGGGTTTACTGCCTTGCATAGTAGGGAGTTGATTACCCTCTCTCTCTCTCTCTCTCTCTCTCTCTCTCTCTCTCTCTATATATATATATATATATATATATATATATATTAAGACAGTTTTATGTTTATACATTTTTATAGATACAAATGCTATATAAATACAAATTAAGTAAATGCTTAATGAAAAAGAATGTATAAACATAAAAATGTTTTAAAATAATTGTCGGACTTTGTCCATTTCATAATGTGTGACGTCATTTGTTTACATTTGGATACGCATTGAGCAGATATGAATGTACGTGAGAGAATCATGAAAAAACAGTAAAATCGACCTTGCTAACCGAACGCTGCTCTGTGGCTAAAGATACGTCAGGCTATATGACGGTTCCGTATAGGATACAAGTTCGATTCCTGTCGGAGGACGCATATTTTCTGAGAAAATTTCTCGGTAATTCAGGCCGATAAATGTTGTTAATACTATTTGTTATAAGCAGAGCATTTACTTAAATATTTGTATCTATAAAAAAAATAATGTATAAACATAAAAATGTCTTAATATAATCGTGGGACTTTTCATATATATATATATATATATATATATATATATATATATATATATATATATAAGCCAAAGCAGAATCAGCAATATTATTGGTCTTGACCTGGCATCTCAGCTCCAGTCACTTTCCCATCGCCTTAATGTAGCTTCCGTTTGCCTTTTTTATAAATAATTTCATGGCAATTGTTCGGGTGAACTCCTCGCTATGGCACCTAGACTTTATCTATTTAATCACACTACTAGACTGGCGACGAAGTCTCATCATCTTACAGTGCTGTCGGATAGATATAACCTTAAGTTCTATGCTAAAAGTTTCTTTTCTCGCACTTCTCGTCTGTGGAACTCCCTTTCAGCTCCATGCTTTCCAGTCAACTTTAATCTTCAAAAATTTAAATGCAATGTCAATCGCTATCTACTGACCTCCAGATTACTCTTCTATTGTTCTCGCTCGTTAAGAATGTTTTCCGTTTTTCTAATTCTTCCACACCCAATAACGTCTTGTGTCTTAGTGGCTTAGTGGCTTTACTCCCTTGTTTGTGGTGAACTCGATTAGTATATTTAAATATATTTATATATTTATGGCACGTCAGATCTAACGAAGGTTTCCTTCTACCTATAGGGACACAGGTTTGAATCCTTTCGGAGAGAACATATTTTCATTAATGAGATCTCGAATATTCAGACGAAAATAAATAAATATACTGCCTAACAAATAAATGGAGTGTCTACTGACATATGAGCCTCCACTAAAAATAACATTTAATTTGTATATATATATATATATATTGATAATATTAGTGGTAAATATACACATACATATGCGCAATATATATATATATATATATACATACATAGGTGCATACACATATATGTATATTTTTTGAATAAAAAATTCCGAGAGGATAGAATCCAGGTAGAACTCAATGTCCAGGACAGAGTAAGGATAACCAAAATACCTAACTACATACATTTTACAATCTCTCTTTCCTCCTATCTATACAATATTATATCCACTCATCCTCTTTCTTTCAATCTGTAATAGTAGTCGCTGACTATAAGAACAATTAGGTCAGACAGGCTGATGACCTCGCAACAGGTCCAAGCAAGTTAAAAAAAATAGCTTCTCATACGCATGCAGAATCACCTGATCAAGTACGAAACATCGAGCAGGAACTAACGAAAGGAATTAATTGGTATCCGAGTCTTAAGCGAGTAACATCAGTTTTTACTTGTTACCGCTAAGCAAAGGAAATCGTACAATGAAGACGCGTTCCAATTCAACTCAAGACACTATGCTGCATATATGAAATGCACAGGTGATTTTCTGAGCGTGATAATCACCTAAGACAGATATGGTGACCCACACACGAATCTTCCTAACCGAACGCTGAATTCTATATTGCTGAATATGTGAAGAAAAGAGTAGACGTCCAACTCTTGGAGTCAAAACTCATAACAATGAAGAAAGAATAATATATCAAAATACATCACTGCATGAGCGAAACGAACTGAACTGAAATTAATACGAACAAAAGTGAAAAATATAAAACAAAGGAAAGAGAGAAAGAAAAGAGAAAAAGAGGAAAGCCTATTTTATTTCAGCTGAAAGACTAGAGCTAAGTAGACTTTAACTATTCATATCAAATATATAACGCATACATCTTTCCACACAGAAATGTATAGCAAACATCTTTCCACGCAATATCATGCATTAAGGTTTGTCTTGTTATAATTAAATCTTATTAAATTATATATATGGGCGTTTTTTGTTTGTTACTATTGATTGTTTCTCCTCATCTGTGTATTTGAACCTGTAACAGAATCCTTCCACTATGGAGTGATATATATTAGTCATCTCTTTTGACAATCAGTTGTTTGTATTGTTTTTTTTTTTCATCTTTTCTTTTTAAATTTTGTGTTGGTTTTTAACTAATAAATGTAATGTAATTGTAAGCGATGTTGTCTGAAAACAAAATTTATGTTTTGAGCTTGACTTGTGAACTTGAATCAAATTTTATTTATTAATCTCTTAAATTTTGGAGTCGCACCTGAATCTCTCTTTGTCCCAGTATTGCCTTTGTTGTTTGATAACGTCTCCTGTTTCCGATTATCTGGTAATTCCGTTTCTCGAATCTCCTGATCCATGCGAATATCAATTTCTGAAATGGAAAATAAGTTCAATATGAATGGTTAACAGTATAAAAAAATGCGAAAACATTTGCCATGATTATACAATGAGTTCTCAGCCCGAATCAAGAAGAAATGAATAAAAGACAAATCTGAAATTTGCTCAGATTATATTTAGCGACTTTCATATAATCACAAGGTTATTTACCCGACTCCTCACTGAGGCAAGGATGGGATACGTGGTCCGTTTAATATGGATCTGCCTTCGGCTAATCTAAATATACCACGACCACAGTTACTGAATCTTTTTAGTGTAGGGTTGCATTCCTCGGGGAGCAAGCGCGTTCCCCTTTGTACAGTGAAGAGAACAGATACTACGCATTGATCCCGGCCCAAAGAGATTTTTCAATGCACTCTAACGAATGTGACACCATATCGACGTTTAAAGCAGGTTTACCGACAATACCGTGGAAAGAATTTCCAGCCTCCTCGGTACTTCCCCTTTTGGGGACGTCTCGGAGGTCCACGTAATGACCAACACCCCTTTCGAAAAAGAGTTACTGCCTGGATGGATGACACCTGGGACTTGAGTAATATTAATTTGAAACTTTCCTAGCAAAAAGCCAGGTAAGTATTAATGATTTTCTAAGCGTAGCTTAGACGCGACACAGAGTCAAAGCTGGTGAGTATCGAACTCATAGCTCAACTGCAATTGACCTAGCAAGACGAGCATGTTAAGCATTGTACCACGGCGAAGCGCTCTGAAATGATCTTCTAAGCTTAGATGTGTCACAAGACCGAAAGCGTGGAACACCAAGTGGTTGATCTAGCGAGACAAGCTTGCTAACCATTACACGAAGACAAGCCCACGAAAATATGGCGTATGAAGGATTGATTGATGACGGATGCGTTTTTACGGTCAATGAGGAAATTGTTACGAGTGAATGGGTCGTGAATCCGATTAGCCAGGTATATGATAGTGAAGACCAGCCTCGACCCATTCCCCGGTTTCGGCCTTTTGTCATAATTGTATTAATTTACAATAAATCTCAATATATACATTTAAAGATTTCAAGCATAGGGGATGTTCTTCTCATTAATGGTAATATAAAGAAACATCCAATAATCAGGGATTTTCAGTTGATACGTCTGCTCCTAAGAAATGATGCTCGCTTCACGTCCGAATGAATACGACCTTGGCTACGATTGGTCAACTTTCGTTCGGATGCGCGTTAAAAGGAACGAGAGGAAATAACTAAACACGTTTCTAAAGTGCAGTAACTGTTATCGCTCTTCCCAGTATTTAAGGGGTGGGGGGGTTCTTCTTCCCTGATGTTTTATTTGAAGTAGTGGAAATGGAAGTTTAGTTACAGTGGATTCCAACATAATTTCAGCACCTCCCTTATTGAATTAAAAAGAGAGGATACCAGCATGACAGTGATCGCAGGTAATGGGAAATTTTTGTCCTTGGCGTATATCTATGTATATAACCATTCCACATTAACCGGACCTATTGTCAGAGTTAGCTCCTCCTTAATTCCCTAATTGTTCACTAGGGGTCGCTCTCCCTACACTATAAATATGGGCGACTACTTGCCTCGTTCTCTTTTTCCCTTTGCTTCGGTAATTGGTTGGAGATTCGTCTCCAGCTAAGCTAGTCGAACTCTCTGCCTTTGGGCGGAGAGGGACCCACACGAGGCTATGGCCTTCGGCATAGCCTCGTCTGGGGTGGTAGACAGCTACCCGACCTCGTTCTTACGGGGTCTACAGGGAATTTTTGCCTGAGCACATGGGCTTAGTTTTACCCCGTATTAAATAAAAGCCTTGTCCTATCTCGCAGGGTGAAGAGGTAAATAACCTTTTCACTTTGCATTTCAGCGGACGCATTTAAAAAATGTGATCTCTCCTAGAGATCCTCGTTTTCGCCCACTTGTGGGAAAACGCCATGAAACACACATACACGTACGTACGAACCTTCACCAAAATACAAACTCTTTACGTTCACACACAAACACAAATATTAATGTCTATGTCACTTATAAAATTGTTGTTTAATACATATATTTGTTGATATTATATATATATATATATATATATATATATATATATATATATATATAATGTCAACAAATATATGTATTAAACAACAATATATATATATAAATATATCGGTCTTGTTTGTTTTCTTTACATCTTCGGTTGGACTGAACTTGAGTCCGCCATGTTCTTGTAGTTGGACCTTCTTCTAGCAGGAAATAAACAGCACGTGTTTCTAATTCAACAACACGCTAACCAACTGTCCTCGACACTATTCTACCACGGTGGAGAGGCCATATTTACATTTCGTGCTCGCAAAGAAACGTTGTGTCAAAAAGATTGTTATTCCCTTGACACCGCTATTACTGTATACAATTTTGACACTCGGCAATGTTTATTTAGAAGATTATAAAAAATTATGAACCAAGTAAAATGCCATATTTATTATTTAGTTTTTAAAAAGATTTACTATTTTCTATTTTATAAAGAAATAAAATTTAAAATAAATATTTTTAGTCAAAATTTTTTTTAAACCTGCAAAATTAACAAAATATGTAAGCCAACTATAAAGTAATATTTTATTATTTTATGAATAACTATGAGATAAAGATATATATTTTTATATATCCTGAACAATATGGCGGAAAAATGTATGACAAAGTGAAAAAAATTTTCTTGTGATGCGTTTCGTCCATTAGGACTTCATTGGATTAAATTTATGTTCGTGTGACTACACATGCGCACGAATGAGGGATGCTGGGAATTTTAATTTAATTTTTTATTCTTTTTTTAACTAGCCGTCCAAACAAAGGACGAAACATAGAAGAAGGAAACTTTTAAATAACTACGAAAATATTTTTTATTCGCAATTTTATAAAAATATCAAAGTATAGAACAAGAAAATTTGAATAAATATGATTTGTTCATTAAAAATTATACAATCTGAACACATGTTTAATATTTTCTAACAGGAAGAGTCTATTGAAAGACATGCTGAAGAGGTTATTCGTTGAAAATTAAATACGTATAAAAAAAAAAAATTTAAATACAATCTCGAATTTTTCTGGCCCTCTTTCATTTTATGAATTCAGAGAATTGACAGCGTTTTCACTGTTTGAATGGATGACATGGCAATTAATTACGAGAGAAAGACTTTCACTTAAATTAACAACGGGGAATTTTACCTTCAGGGTCAGGATTTGAACTTGCTTCCGAGGGTACACTTTCCATGTCCACCGTTGAGCTGACCGGGGAACTTACAATACCGGCTGTAATAAAGACAGATAAAAATAATATAAATGAATTTACTTTACATTTTCTTTCTTTCTTTCTATCAAACGTTGCTTCGTCCTATCTATCTATCTATCTATCTATATATATCATGCTGTTCCTATCTATCTCACGCTGTTTTTTCTGCCTATTTATATATATATATATATATATATCATAACGTTGTTCCCTATCTATCTCACGTTGTTTTTATCTGCCTATTTATCTAACGTTGTTTCTATTTCTATCTATCTATCGTTGTTTCTATCTATCTATCTATCTAACGTTGTTTCTATCTATCTATCTAACGTTGTTTTTCTATCTATCTATCTATCTATCTATATCGTTATCTAATCTATTATTATCTATCTACGTTGTTTCTATCTATCTATCTATCTATCTATCTAACGTTGTTTCTATCTATCTATCTATCTAACGTTGTTTCTATCTATCTATCTATCTATCTAACGTTGTTTCTATCTATCTATCTATCTAACGTTGTTTCTATCTATCTAACGTTGTTTCTATCTATCTATCTAACGTTGTTTCTATCTATCTATCTATCTATCTATCTAACGTTGTTTCTATCTATCTATCTATGTATCGATCTATCTAACGTTGTTTCTATCTATCTATCTATCTATCTATCTATCTATCCAACGTTGTTTCTATCTATCTATCTAACGTTGTTTCTATCTATCTATCTATCTATCTATCCAACGTTGTTTATCTATCTATCCAACGTTGTTTATATCTATCTATATCTATCAACGTTGTTTCTATATCTATCTAACGTTGTTTCTATCTATCTATCTATCTAGGAAACGTTGAGAAGAAAGGACTATCCAACGTTGTTTCAATTTCAAGAAGACAGAATATCTATCTATTATCTATCTATCTAAAGGGATCTATCTATCCAACAAGAAAATTCCAAATTGGAGATATCTAAAATCAAACAATTATTGAGTGTTCTTTAAATATATGGGATCTGTTCTATCTATCATATCTATCTATCTATCTATCTATCTGCCTATTCATATTTCAAGAAGACTGTTCGTTGGTAGCAAAAGGACTGTCTCAAGAAAAGTCCAAATTCATACCAAAATCAAACAATTATTGAAATTTAAATATCTGGGAACTGTTCTATCTATCTATCTATCTATCTATCTATCTATCTATCTATCTAAACATGAAATAGACTGTTACCTCTCTCTATTGACATCAGAGTCTTTCGTAAAATACATTAATTTTCCTTAAGGCGTTATTTTATAACGTAAATCTATTTGAAATTTACCTTAAAAACGCAGACTTATTTGATATTTTCCAGTCACCTTAGATAATATTTACATAATCGGGAAGTTAGATTTTAAATGCTCATTAAAAAAGGGCCGTTTAAAAAAACATATTTCTGTAAATATGTATATTAAGAAACCTATTATAATTGTGCTTGCCCCTCTCTTTGTTAGTTAGCACGACCGTTACATCGTGTTAATACCTAATAAATAATGGACTATTCCATTTTCATCGCGTGGAATGAGGAAAGACTTATCAGAGACGTTTTGTTTCCGTGATAAAAAGAAAGATAGAAATGTTTAACGTGTTCTACTAATACCTCATAAATAATAGACTAATCCATTTTGTATCTGTCTATATTTCTGAGATGAGGTATTATGTACATTATTTACATTATTCGGACTATTGTCCTCATCTTTGTCGTCATATTTATTACAACGTTTCGGCCTTTCCGTATCTGTCTATATTTCCGATATGAGGTATTATGTACACTATTTACATTATTCGGTCTATGGTCCTCATCTTTGTCGTCATATTTATTACAATATTTCGGCCCTTCAATATCTGTCTATATTTCTGAGATGAGGTATTATGTACACTATTTACATTATTCGGACTATTGTCCTCATTTTTGTCGCCATATTTATTACAACTTTTCGGACGTTATACGCTCCGGCCTTCTTCAGGTAGTTGGAATATCGAATTTAACCTTTTAAAAAATTGCAATATGGGCACTGTTAAAAATGGTTGCTGAAGACATTAGGTTTATAATACCCAGAAATTCATACAAGGACACATGGCACAGTGGATAAAGGTGTTGGTTAGATCCAGTGGCAGGACCCAAAGAGTGTGAGTTCAATACCCGGTCAAGGAAGGGGAGAACTTTCAGAGATAACTGATAACTGACATCCATTAAACATGACAATGTGGAACTAGAACAGTCTACCCCAGTGAGCGAAATAAAGGGTTAAGTTCGACATTCCAACCACCTGATGAAGGCCGGAGCGTACAACGACCGAAACGTTGTAATAAATATGGCGACAAAGATAAGGACAATAGTCCGAATAATGTAAATAATGTAATCCGTTTTGAACGCTTTAGAAGACAGCCAACCACCTGAAGAAGGCCGGAGCGTACAACGGCCGAAACGTTGTAATAAATATGGCGACAAATATAAGGACAATAGTCCGAATAATGTAAATAATGTAATCCGTTTTGATCGCTTTAGAAGACAGAAGACATCAAAGACTTGGTTTCAGTGAGAAAATGATAGCTGTTTTTAACGTCTGTTTCAGTGAAAGTTGACAATTTAAAATCTTTTGATTTGTACCCCCTTACTTCTTAAAATAATGACCGGCATTCATATTTATGATTGTTATTGCAATATTCTGTTAAGCTCATATGTTTTAACCGCCTTTTTACTAGACACCCTGTAGTTTGCCAAACAGAGGTAAAACCGTCTGTCTCTTCTAACTATCGACATAAGTCGATAAAAAGGACATACGATTCACCTGAATTCTTAAGACTTGAATAACAGATGAGGATTTTCAAAAAGCAGGAAAGCAAGAGGGAACAAGTCATTTATTATAAAGTTTAGAGGAAACGGGGTCCAGTTCGAGAACACAATTCTTAAGGACTATTACAGCAATACAATATTACTTGTCTGAAAGATGGGTTAGGGTTAAGAATTCCTTGTCTTGTGGCATAAGATCAATTTAATGTGGGTGCCGATATGCGTGCATATGTTCCAATGAAAACTGACAGGGATACCATCAGTTTAATAAGTCTATGATTGCTTTGTATTTACTCTCCAGCTAATGTGAAACTTTATCCGTTCAATCAACATCATATTCGTGTGTATTTTTCTTTTTAAATCATTAAAATTAAAATATTCAAAGAGAGATCGCATGAAATAAGAGTAAGAAATATTCCATTTCGAGGTAACAGGAGATATATTCACTCTTTTTCAAGAGCCACTCAAGGTAAAGGGTTACTAATTTAAGTTGTAAGGATGTAAGAGAAGGAATTAAGAATTGAAGATTATAAGGATACGGCGGAGAGATAATATTTTGTAAATATTTTTAAAATATTATTGAAGAATTTTAAAAAATGAAGCAAAAAAATAAAGACTTACTTGGAGTGTTGTTTAACGTTTTATTTATATTATAATCGATTTGTTGAAGGGGAGGCACAGTTGTCACGGGTGACGTCAGAGGTGGAGTAAGGAATGGACCGGAAGGGGAGTTGGTGGCAGCAGTATGGGAAATTTTCTGATTACCGGCCATTAGCATGAATGGTTGTGATTGGATTGTCGTTTGCAAAGCTATCGAAAGAAAGATGAGAAAGACATCATAGAACTTTTTTTTACGGAAAGTAATGGTATTATGGTAATCAAATGATAGTCTTGAAAAATTCTTCCTGAAGATTGTTTTAGAGTAAGCCTGAACACAAACAAAACAAGCGTCGTTTTCAGGGAATTATACACAACAAAATTTACAATAGGTTTTTGACAGTTTTGACGGTCTTGTGGGCAATGAACAGCTTTTCGAACCTACAGCCCCTTACAAACGAAATGTTACAAAACTATGGCTGCTCTTTCACTATTCCCATGGAAAATGTTTAGGCGAACTACATTACTTAGTTCCACCAGTTCAAACCTTTACATCTAAGCCTCTCTCTACTCTATCGCTATTTCCATGGCAAATGTTCAGACGAGCTACATTCCTTAGTTCCACCAGTTCAGACCTTTACATCTAAGCCTCTCTCTACTCTATCGCTATTTCCCTGGCAAATGTTCAGGCGAGGTACATTCCTTTGTTCCACCAGTTCAGACCTTTACATCTAAGCCTCTCTCTACTCTATCGCTATTTCCATGGCAAATGTTCAGACGAGCTACATTCCATAGTTCCAACAGTTCAGAGGTTTACATCTAAGACTCTCTCTATTCTATCGCTATTTCCATGGCAAATGTTCAGGCGAGCTACATTCCTTAGTTCTACCACTTCAGAGGTTTACATCTAAGCCTCACTCTAGACTATCGCTATTTCCATGGCAAATGGTCACACCAGCTACATTCCTTAGTTCCACCAGTTCAGACTTTTACAATTAAGTATCTCGCTACTCTATCGCTATTTCCATGACAAATGTTTAGAAGAGCTACATTCTTTAGTTCTACCAGTTCAGACCTTTATAACTAAGCCTCTCTCTACTCTATCCATGATTCATATGTCCCTATATTCCAATGAAGCTAAAGAACTCTGAATTAATCTACTCTACATGCATCTGGTACCGTCTTCATTCAATATGGATATGATTTCAGGCAAGATCTGTTACTACAGGCAATTCTAGAACAGGTGTCTCTGGTCACCGTCATTAACGTCCGGTGATCGACTACTGTCCGCGGTGGCCGGAAATTCCTCCTAGCATATATTTCTAGTACACTCTTAACACTCTCGGTCGTGGGATGTAAAATGTTCCTGCGATTTCAGAAATAGAATATCCCTTTCGTCTGATACCGTATGATGCCTCGTTAGAGCTTCAGTATTTTATATCGCCTTGTCATTAGCCGGTTTGGCTGGTGTTTATATTGACTTATCAGATTCCAGATCACAAAATTTACATCACGTCAAGATACGGAGGCGCCACCAACCATGAACTGTACATACTATTATCCCATAACTTTTGACACATCAAGGTATATTCGCGTCTATCTAACTGTTTTGTTTATAAAACTTATTTTCAGTTATTAAAAAACAACTTCTTTCCTTATCTGTCACAGTGTAACTTACTACTAACGGATCCACGAGTGACTTATATTAAATATTCTATTCTCATATCATTGTAAGCAATTGGCCAGGATAAAATATGCCATGACTTTTGGCACGTCAGTGTATATTCGTATCTTTCTATCTACTTTGCACATAAAACTTATACACAATTCTTAAAAAAACAACAGGTGGTATCACGGCTATGACTAGCTTAGACGAGCTCTGAAAAACTTGGGCGAGCTATGACCAGCTAAGACCAGCTTAGACCAGCGGTCCGAATGAAAACATTCGTGCCCCCACGTTAAAAACAGACTTTGTGTCACAACCTGATTCAGTGGGGGTGTCAAGTAAATCTCGACTTAACTGTCACAGTGTTACTACTCAGGAATGCGTTAGTGACTTGCATTAAATATTCTATTTATATCACATTACCTGAATTAAATTGCAAAACAAACTTACGTGTTGGTGAGTTGAATCCATTATTTCTCGGTTTAAGGGCAGGCACTGCAAATGTTAAGACAGGCATAAGTTTAGTGATGTAAATGAAGAAGCAAGTTTTCAGCTTATGCTGTGGCGGACTTCACCACATTAATGCAACTTTAGATTAGGAAACAAAACTCACGTGAAAAAGGATAAGCAAAAGACATCATTACACATAAAATATGTATTTAACAAGATGTACAACGATGTGAAAGAAAGCATGCTTTTAAGTAAGAAAAGGTTGAATAAAACAAGAGTTGTCTCTCTTTATTATTTTTGTATTTCAGAGTTCACTGAAAGAAAGTTTATGAGAGTTTCTTGTAATAATTGTTCCCAGCAGATTTTCTGTGTAAGAAAATATATGTGAGTGTATAAGGAATGTTCAGCATGTGAGTGGAGGTGTGAGTGAGAAGGTTGGTACATGGTTTCAACTCTCGTGGATTCGTTTAGCAGCTGAATTCTCACTAATTAGCTAAGAATATTTCTTGCTTATATAGATGACCATAGGCTCTAAATGGATGCGCGGGGAGAGTTATTTTTCACGTGCAGACGATCTGGTTGGTTGGCATTGACCAATCAGCGAGCGAGTTTTGGGGAGACTTATGAAAGCTTCTGGGATCCCTTTCTCCCAAAAAGTGCACAAAATTGACTACATGAAAATAGAGCGATTACAAAATTGTCGCATTGCTGCGATTTGTAAATTGTCTATAAAAACGTAGTGGTGATTTATTAACCAATGAATGCTTGTCGTTGTATGTGATTTGTATTTGTGTATGTACGTATGTGTGTGCGATATAGATTGGCACAAAGTAATACGAAATTGCTGTAAATAGGACAATATCTATTTGCATATCAGTTCGTAAGTCTTGTAAGGAGACCACAGTTGTTTCCCCTTGGGTTGAGCTCATGGGAGTTCAGTCCCTTTAGAGAAGAGAACTCTTCTGCTCCTTTTTTCTTTTTGCTTCCATTTTTTTTTTAATGAACAATCTTTACCTTCCTGACCACCAGGGCGTCCACACACGTGAAAGATGTGCACAGCCTAATGTGGAGAAAAAAATTAATTTCGATTCACTTAGCTACAGGCGGTCAAAGACCATAAAGGTGGTATATTATTTCTTTGTTCTCGTTCTGTAAACATTCTCGTCCCAAGAGAGTCGGTAGAGAAGTGTAGACTAGAGTTTATTTATTGATGTTACCGGATGATTTAACAATGTAACAATTCAGTTGATTTACTCACTCGGCAATTGTCTTTTAATCAACATCTGAAGAGCATTGTATAAAACGTCTCCAGCTTCCGGTGATCTTTGCATGAAGTCGTCTCTGTTCAGCAAACAAACGGCGCGACCTGATAAACAAGAAAATAATATCGATTAACAAAGTTTAAAATGAGTCTATTTGTGAATGCAAACAATAGAAAAAAGAATTATGTTCATCATTCTTAATCTGAGGTGGGAGTGTCCAATCGAATGTTGTACGCAAGGAGAGTTTCCAACGGGTGCAAGAAAAAGGAACACAGCGAAATTTGTTTTGCCCTTTATCACAGACTAGCTTAAATGCCGCACCCCGTGAAAACTTTTAAGCTGGCTACTACAGAGTGCTAATTAGGCCCCTAGCCCAGAACTAAAGGGATAACTGGTCCAGCTTAGAAAACATCAATGATAATTTTAAAGAAATAGCTCTACGGAACTTCAAAACCTCTCATTATGTCTATTCGGTCTATAAGTCCAATTCCGACCAAAAGACTGATTTGTGCCGTACATCCGATTTGGGTCGAAATTCTAATTCTGGCTGAAAATTGGGTTCTTCAAATCGCAAACTCTGCGGAACTTCAAAACGCACGAAACCTCCCATTTTAATTCTGATTCCTTGGTATTTTGAAGAAATAAAATTGATTTCCTCAATTCACAAAATTTTGGAGATATTTGAAACTGAATTGGAAACAAAAAAAAATTAAATTCATAAAGTTTTTGTGTTACTTTAAAATCAATATAAATTTTGAAAAAATAAATCACTGTTTTTTTTTTTCAGTTATTTTAAAATCCGGACACAAATCCCAATGCTGGATGTTCAAGAACCAGATGAAAGGGCAAATTTACAATCCCGGGATAATCCGGATTCCAAAAACTTATAATATGTCTATGTAGAGCAAGTGTGGTTAGGGTGAATAAGCAAAATTTACTTATATTCCGTGTGAGTTCGTTTCAAACATCCTCGTGGCTACTGTTATATTCCGTGCTAAGTGAATAAACACATAACGCCAGGTGGATACTAGAAGAAAAGGTTTATTGTACACAACAAGTACAATATGAAATACGGTACAGTTATATACAGAGGTCAATCTAATAGAGAGTACCACTAATTGGAAGGTCGGGCGTGCTTGCGTCGTCTCTATCACTCGTCCTCTCTGAGTCTCTCGTAGACAGTAGTCTTTATAGGTACTTACTAACTATAGTGTAATCATTCATGGGGGTGCCAAGTTATTCCATTACATCAACTTATTTAAAAGACATATAAATTTTTCTCTATCATATATCAAATCAGCAAATAGCTATTAAAACAGCGTGTTCCCATTGTTTAAAAAGTGAAAAAATAAAGGAGCATAAAATGAATTTATTAGGGTACTATCGATCTTATCTCAGATCATTCTAGAATTAATTAAACTAAATATAAAATGTATTTCTGTTTATTTTGCTACAAAAATGTATTTCTACACTTTCATTATGTTTTCTTTTTCTTTGGGGGTTCACTATTTTCCCATAGCTGGGATCCTAACAGGTGCTACCACCCCGGGTCAAAGTGGACCTGGGAACAACAGCAATTAAGAGGTGTTTCTAATCTCCTCAAAAGCTCCAATCTCCCGATCAGAGTCCTTGGTACAGGACGTAGTTTATCGTCATACCCAGCATTGAAAATGGTGAAAACTTGGTGGCAAGAATGCTGAACCCATTATACATAGACTGGACATGTTAGATAATAATAGTTTAGTGTTACAAGTCTTATTAATTAACCCATAACTTGGGGGAAAAGAGATGGATTTATACCTTTGCGAAGAATACCTTTGGATATAAAAAAAACAACGGAATTTGGAAGTTGGCTCTCTAACAATTCCGAGCCATTAACCACTCGCACATCCAAGCTTACAATCCTACTAATTAACCCATAGCATAGGGGAATATACATGGATTCATACCTATTTGAAAGTAAGTGGATATAACAAAACCAACGGGAATTGAAACTCGGCCCTCTAATTAACAATTTTGAGTCATTATCCATTACACCACCCGCACATCCAAGCTTACAGCATGTCGTATTCCCAAGCGGTACTCATCTAGGTACTGTCCAGGTTCGACGTGGCTTAACTTCGAAGTTATTACAAAAACCAGTGTTTTAACGTGATGTGGCCGTAATCCAGTCACGTTCAAGAAAAATGGAAGTGAAAAGAATGTGTATACTTGGAATTAGAAAGAGACAGTTGAAATTTCTAAGGCACATAATGTGGAAAGAGGGCTTGGAAAATTTAACACTCACAAGATATATTGAAGGGAGGAGGAGCAAAGGAATGTGTGGTTGGATGTCAGAACAATGATTAGGATGGATAGCGGGGTGACAGAACTTACTAATTGCTACAAAGAATAGAAAGCTGTGTAGAGCCATGATCACCCACGTCTTAAAGAAGACTACTTACCATTCATGTTAAATCTTTCAGGAGAGACAGAATCAATAGAAAATTCCTCAGCACACCAGGCTAACCAAGCTCCAACTTCTTCTTTACTCCACTGATTTGGCGGTTTTGCTGTCAAAAATAAATAAAATAAAATGAGTAAATAAAACAGATTTAAATGCAGTGTGGGGCCTCGGTTTCAGAATTGTAGAAAAATGCTGACAGATTTAAGTACTTTCACTGAAAAGTCATATTTTGTACAAAAGCGGCTCGAAAGATTTGAATCTTTGTATTCACAAATATTAACCAATCAATATGTAAAATATATAAATTGCTCCTATTTATCTCATCTCTCAGCTACGTCACTGTCTTTGGGTTGAGCGCACTCAGGGGTTGACTCCATCAAAGGACAGAGTCGCAACTGAAGAAAGTTATATTAAGAGGTGCCGGCCCTGTGGAAAAGCTGCCCGAGGCTGCGCACTCTCATTGCACTAGAAAGAGGGATCGGTGCATGTCCCGAGGCCAGCCGAACCGATGGTTGCGGGGGCTTGGGAATTTTTGTTCCTTGCCCAGGTGTATGCGCTCGGGCTCCCCGCATTAAACCGACTTTGTGTCACAGCCTGACCTCGTGGTGTGGGAATAAATAAATATTAACAAATATTAACCAATCAGCGACGTCGTACGAGACGCGTGGTATTCTTTGAATTGGCAAACGATAAAAATTTCTTAGAATAAACTTACTTCAGAACATTATCAAGAATATTTTCCCTCCTTAAAAAGGATATTGAAAATTTGGGAAAATATTTATTAACCAATAAACTTGAGATTAATAAATCTAAATTTTGATTTTGATTTCTTCCGGAGCCGATTATTATAATCTGATCAATTCTTGTTCGCTACTAGTGAACCTTTGACCTTTAGTGTTTGTCGATAGTTTGTTAGACAATCAGAATTGAAATTCTCACACTTAATTAATTACGCATATTTTTCGTATATTTATCCGAGTATATGATATTACAAAAAGTGCTTATCGATATTGACACGTAAAAGAAAACGTGCATGCCAATTTGTTTACTTGAATCAACAGTAGCAACAATGTTCCCTGCTTTTTTCATGCGGTCGATAACTACAATTTACACACACAAATAAAAACAACGTAAATCCGTGTCACATACATCCGCACACATGTAGACGTATTTCCTGTTTATTCTATACTAATACAATTCATTCGATTGTACTGTAAAAAATAAGATACACAAAAGATTTGGCGTGAAGTTGTTCACAAAAAAATCTTTGTAATTCCTTTCGTTTAATTTGAAAGAAAAATAATACACAAATAAAAATTACTGAAATTTGTAGAACAGTGTTTGAAGATTATCGTTATTCTTCGCTTCTATACGTATATTCCACGACAGCAGCACTAGTAATGCTGTCAGTTGAAATTCATAAAATATTTCTCTTAAAACAATTTTTCAGGAAAATAGCTTTCACAAGTCCAGTAGCTGTTATTGCTCTTTTCAGTATTGATGATAGTTTCCTTCCTAACCTTTTATAATTAGGAGTAGATAGGTTTGCTTGTCGTCCGGTTCACGTTCCTCCCAGGCCTTTTTAACATGAGCAGAGGTTTACCTCTTGTTTATTGTTTAGGATTGGATTTCCGGTTCCTTCTAAAGTCTTTTTCCCAGTAGCTCCTTGCATCTTTGTGGCATTACTTGGAATGAAATGATTAAAAAGATAACTGATTAATACTAAGACGACATAGGCAGCAGAAAAAGATCATTCCATCCTCGTAGATTAAATAAAGGGTTCAGTTCGAAATTCTCAGAAAGTTTCTCGGATCGACTGACAACTGAATAAGGCTGGAAGAATGTTGTTTTTAACATCACAACGTTTCAGCCAAAGATGAAATCATTAGAGCAATAGGCGTTTATTTTTAATCAAATCAATCCATGCAATACAGTACAGCCACTATGACACAAGGAGTTACTGAGTGAGAAACAATAAGAGAAAAGAGAAACATTATTGAGGAGAGAGATCAATAGAAGATTAGTCAGAAAGGCAGTAGATAATGATCGACATTGCATTTCAATTTTTGCAGATTAAAGTTGGCAGGAAATCATGGGGCTGGAAGAGAGTTCTACAAGCAAGAAGTGTGTGAAAAGAAACTGTTAGCATAGAACTTATGCTTATATCTAGCCAATTCGACTGTAAAAAGATGAAATCTTGTAGCCGATCGAGTATCGCGCTTAAATTCTTAAAGCCTAGGTACCATAGCGAAGAGTTCACCCGCACAATTAGCATGGTAATATTTATGGAAACGGCACAGAAAAGCTAAATTATGGAGGGGAACATTAATTTTACAATCAGTGGAAAGGTTAGCCTATCGTCCGGTTTACACTCCTATCCGGTTTTTTGAAAAGAATACAGGTTTATCCGTAATTTCTTTTTAGGATTGGATTTCCAGTAGCTTCTAAAGTTTTTTCATTCTTTTTCACTCCCGGTAGCTCTTTGCGTCTTAGTGGCATTATCATATTTCTTGTGGCGAACTGATTTAAAAAAAAAATTGTCTAGAAAAAGAAAATTGACAAGTTCTGAAAATTCTCGGGAAATCAAAACGGGATAACAAAATGCTCCTGTAGACTAAATACGATAACAAAATGCTCCTGTAGACTAAATACGATAACAAAATGCCCTTGTAGATTAAATACGATAAAATACCCTTGTAGATTAAATACAATAAAATGCCCTTGTAGATTAAATTAAATACCCGATAAAACAAAATGCCCTTGTAGATTAAATACGATAACAAAATGCCCTTGTAGATTAAATACGATAACAAAATGCTCCTGTAGATTAAATACGATAACAAGATGCCCTTGTAGATTAAATACGATAACAAAATGCCCTTGTAGATTAAATATAATAAAATGCCCTTGTAGATTAAATACGATAACAAAATGTCTCTGTAGTTTTAAGACGATATTAAAATACCCCTATAGATAAAATAAAAGTTTTCGGAAGGTTATATAATGCCAGAGAAATATGAAGAATGCCGAGTTGATGTGAAAAACATTGGCCAAAAATTGTGGAAAAAATCTTAAAATTGATTCCTTAAATGTGCATTGGCCAACGTTGAATGCAGAATTCTCCTCTCCATATTTTCGTTCACGCCGCGAGAGTGAAGGACAGAATATCAAGTGGGCTACTTGGCTGAACCATCCGTAAATGTACACCATCAGTATTTTAGAAGAAGTCCGTTTGCTGGGTATATATGTTTGAGAACGGTAACGAAAGAATAAAATAACGTGAGGGAATTATCTCAGAACACTGCCTAGTTGCAAATTCTAAGTAAATCCTAATCCGAGTTGCAAATCCTAAGTCATATCATGTTCAACATTTGCTTAAGCCTTACACGTCGGACGAACGTGCACAGCAGGCGGATAAAACAAACATGAATTTCATTAAAGAAAAGTTCTTATGATTATTTACCCTTAAATATATCTAGGCCGACTGAGCTACGAAGGATCTAGCCAATCAGGCAAGAGAGAATAGGCTCTTTAAGAGAAATTCACGCCATAGGCTCTCGAAATTTTCATATCCATTCTGTTTCGTATCCAAACTCAAAGCAGTTTTCTAGAGAAAACGGATTTTATCACTTAAACGATTTTTTTTATAGGATACCCATTTTTGAGTAGACGTTCCGTTTATTTATTAAACAGTATATTTATTCATTTTTGTCTGCCTGATTATTCGAGAAATCTTATTAAAGAAGCGAGTGCATATTTTTCCGTCATTAACATTTATCGAATATTCATAATAATTGTGAATTCAATCCTTGAGCCGGGTAGTAAAAGGCACAGATTAGGCGTAAAGAATAGCAATAACTAAAAAAGAACAACGCAGTATATATATATATATATATATATATATATATATATATTATAAATAAAAAGGCACAGATTAAAATAGCAATAACTAAAAAGAACAACGCAGTATATATATATATATATATATATATATATATATATATATATATATATATATATATATTATAATAAAAAGAAAGAACAGTAAGCGTTTAACGGATGTCAGAATTCGTTGAAAAATACACCCCTACTCTCCCTACACTTAACCTCTTTTTCGAACGTGACTCATAATTGATACAACAATAGTTAATAAAAATGAACACACTACCGCCCCTGTCTGAATGATTGGATTTCTCTGTATCCTTGGAAACAGGAAATTATGAATTTCTATGTGCGTTTAAAACTCAGTAAATTTAAAAACAAGTTATTCCAAAATTCGCTTGAGGATGAAACAGAACTAATGCTTTAAATTTAATTATATGATTAAATTTGAAGTTTTTAGCTTTAGTTTTTGAAACATGGTTATTACTGTGTAGCAAAGAAGCCATATTTTAAATCAGTTAATTTACAATATATATATATATATATATATATATGTGTGTGTGTGTGTGTGTGTGTGTGTGTGTGTGTGTGTGTGTGTGTGTGTGTATTGACATCGGAATGGCAACACTATAACTCCATAAATAATCAGTTCAATTCCAAAGGTCACCTGGATGGCAGGCGACCCGAAGAAGACTGTAGGCATAAAAATCGAAACGTGATCATAACGGCAACAATGAGGATATTATTGTAAATAATATCTCCGCATCCGAGAAATTCAGGCGGAAGTTCTGAGAAAAATTCGTTGCGGATTTGCCGGTTGAGGCAAGTCGAGTGACCTTGAACGTGACAGCTAAATGAAGTTCCTCTATTATTTGATAAAACGACATTTCTTTATGATCGATAAGTAGAACGCGCAAACAAGCGAGTACTTAAAACGTGGTTATAAAAGATAAGCGCGATGTATAATAGCTAAAGGAAGCCGGAACATTTATTCTAGATTATGATAAAATAGATGAGGTCATTAGTCCGAGAGAAAATAATGCACATAATAAAATCAACACGAGTGTAAGTCAAAAATTATTCGCACTTTTATCAAACATATCTCTAGCTCTGTCACACTGCCTTCTGCTCATGCGTGCTTATAGTTGGTACTCTTGTAGACATGTGATCGAAATTTGAGCTTGATACCGGCAGTTTTTTCTTGCCGCTATTACAGTGTAAACATGACCGCTCCGCTAGCAGTGTGCATCAAGGAGGAACACAGAGTGGCGATCCTATTTCTTTTGTCGGAATAGGCTGACATTCATCGGAGGCTTTTAACCCACCCCAGCCGACAGTACACTACCGCGTAAAAGTGTGTATCGACAAGTTTAAAAGTGTCCGGACACGCGTGACGCACGAAGAAGAAGCAAAACGCCTGTCAACTTCCACCTCTAACGAGAAGGTTCAGCAAGTTCGTGTGGTGGAACCGTCGAGTTATCATCAAGGATGTGACATTTTCTTTGCAGATTCAGATCACTGCTCTTTGTTCCTCCGTAGTGAACACTGCTAGCGGAGCGGTTACGTTTACACTGTAAGAGCAGCAAAAAAACTGGCGCGATCTAGCTCAAACTTCGATCACGTGACCACAATAGCACCAACTATGAGCACGCATGAGGAGTGTGACAAAGTCAAAGATGTGTTATAGTGTGGATAATTTTTGACTTATCCTCGTGTTGATTTTATTATATACATATTTTTCTCTAATCAGATGTTTGAATGTTCAGGTCGGTAGACGTAAATTTAAATAAATAAATGGAGCGTCTACTCAAATATGAGTATCCATTAAAATAATGTCTAAAGTGCTAAAAATCTGTTAGATTAATAGATATAAATCCATCACTTCTTCAGAAATTGCTTTGTTTACATTCGGATACAAAACTGAGCAGGCATGAAATTTCGAGATTCTGTGACGAGGAGGATTTCGCTTGAAGGCACTATTCAGCCTTGGTGGATTAGCAAAGCACTTCTTAGCTGGTTAAACCACGTCGGATTTAACGACTGTCTCCCCTAACCAAGGAGATGCAGGTTCGAATATAACCGGGAAGAGCATATTGTCCTTTAGTAAGATTTATATTATATGTGGACAGATAGACGAAAATACATAAATATACTGTTTAATAAATTATCTGGGCGTCTACTCAAATATGAGTATCCACTAAAAATAACGTTTAAAGCTATAATATATACATTGCGTATGATTTGGCATCATGTTTTCGTTGGGAGATGTTTTATTGAATAATTTAGACAAGTTTTTCTTTTAAATAACGTGTTGCAAAAAGCCAACATTGTCTATAAATGTCTTCTGGGAAGTTCTTCACTTGACAAATAAAAAAAAATCAATTTTCAGATGAACACAAAAATTGTGTCTTTGAAAATGATGAAGACGATAGTATTTGTCTTGAAATTAACAACACCCTGATGATGACATTGTACTAATGCCGAAAGTACTCGGAATAAAATAATATGTATCAACACAGTAATCTTTCTTTAATGATTACACCAAAAGGCTTGTCTGTGAATATGAAAGGATTCAATTGAAAATGAGTAGACAAAACTTGTCTAAATTATCCAATAAAACATGTCTCAATTTATATGCACACACACAAACATACATACATACACACACACTCACAAAACACAATATATATATATATATATATATATATATATATATATATATATATATATTTACTTGGATTGACGTGAGTTTGTGACCCTGGATTTTACGCAATTTGCGATCGTCATATATATATATATATGTGCGTGTGGCTGCGCTTTGGATGCAATACTTTGTACTTAGTTTTCATACCATAGAACTTATGGTAATTTCAACTGTAAAATGACAGGACCTAACTGCCAATCGAGTATCGCGATTTCAAAAGAACAGAAGATGATGCTGCATTTAAATTTTTGAAGTTCGTAGTTTGGTAGGAAATCAAGAAGTCAGAAGAGAGTTCCACAGGCAAGAAGTGTGAGAGAAGAAACTGTTAGCATAGAACTCATGGTTACATCTAGTAATTTCAACTTACTGAGGTTCGCTGGCATCACAGGCTGTGGACAATTGATGAGTGATGATTGATTTTGCGTGAACGGGTTGAAAATTTGCGGTGCAAACAACTGCATCATATTCTCGTTAACCATTGGCTGCAAATGAATTAAAAACGATTGGTTATTTTTAAGTGGAAAACACCGACGATAAAGCCAGCACATTATTTATCAGGAGTTTTAGAAAAGTTCTCGGTCAGGTCAAAAAGAAATTCCAAACCAAAACTCTGATGCTTTTGTTATTTTCTTAAACTTTTTCCAAGTGGATCAAGTCAAGAATTTTTCGACTGCCCATCCTATATATATATATACACAATAAAATACATAGGTTAGAAATCCAAAACTACCTAATTCAGAAAATAGCTATTTCGATTCCAAAGATTTAAAATAACTATCCACAAAATTTAAAAATCTATCCTCAGTAAGTAGTATTTTATTTTTGTATTATTTTGAATAGGAGCGTTTTTTCAGAGCCTTCAGCTGAAATTCACGTGAGTATCTTTCTGTTTTTTTTTTTTTAAACTTTTAACACTTCAATTCCACTGTTAAATGTTGAAGAAGAAGAAAAAGAAGATTAAATTTGTTTATGAAGTATTTTCTTGTATTTATAGGTAAGAATAATTGTTTGTTTGATATATTGGCATATACACACACACACACATATATATATATATATAAGCTTGGTTACAGAGTGAAGAAGAGAGAATTTAAAAGCTAGGAAATTTCAAATAAATAGCACAACTCTATTAAGACGTAAGACAATATACCAAGAGATATTTCTAGCATTTAAGGAATCAATCGTTGACTGCTCGAAAATAATCGATTTTTGGACATCGTTGAATAGCTTCGCTTCGCTCCGACGATTCAGTTCATTTTTTCCAAAGGACACTGGCGAAAAGGTCAGATAAATGCTGCATTAGATATTATGTTTTGGCTGCATTCAGTTTGCAGACAACAATAATAATGGCGCCGGAAAGGTCACAATGCATGATAGGAAGACGCCATAATGCATCTTGAGTTCGGACCTGAAATCTAAATGTTAGATAATACAAACACTTTAAACCCTCGCTACATCGACAAGTACTAGTCGTACTGTTTGTACAAGTAATATTTACTTTTTTCCTCAAATGCTGCACAAGAGATTGGAAAAGTATTATTTTCTTAACTCAAAGCTAACTTAAACACTGGCGTGGCTAGATCATGTCGAAAATGGAGTACTGTTGCCATACTTGGGCGGGAACTGTCGAGTTCTCACTTCCCACTCTTGATAAATTTCAAAAGCGTCTCTGAATCCTTGTTGGAGAAGAAATATTATTCCGCCTTCCAACCTCTCTCTCTCTCTCTCTCACAGGCGAAATGTTTTGAACCTCTCGCTGCTCTGTCGCTACTCCCATGGGAAGTTTTCGGATGAACTACATTGCTTGGTTAGGCCAGCTCTAACTTTTACGGCTAGGACCTACCATGACACTTAAATCGTAGCAAACCACCCACATTATCTCCCCATAACATCGGCGAGAAGTTCCATTTAAAGAGCTTCTTCCTGCGAACCTATGGAACATACTCCCAAGGGGGTATTTCCCCGATCATTACAATCTTAACATGTTCAAGTCTAGGATTAACTGTTAGTTTCTCCTCCTCTCTATATAAACTACACCTTAACGTAACCCTCTACCTCGAGTGGCCCTTGGGCCTTGTACAGAGTAAACCTTTCTGTAAAAATGTTGTAGAGTAATTTTCACTGAAGAAGACCGGAGCGTACAATGGCCGAAACGCTGTGATAAATATGGCAACAAAGATGAGTATGATAGTCCGAGCAATGTAAATAATGTGAAAATAATTTTCTGTTTGAATTTTTAGAAATGCTCCAGACTACACCAGCAGCGGTAAGAAAGAGATGTGGTGGCAGAGAGGCATACGTTTGACAGCATGGCTACAAGCAGCAGTAGAAGAAGAATACAAACAACTAGGTTTAAGACTAAATTCTAGCTTCACGAATGTCGGACGGAATGATTGCCCGGTGTTTTAAAGTTTTGGTTTGTTTATTGGGTGGAATAATAACTGTGAGTTCAATCTCTGGGCCGGGCAGTACAGATTCAAACGCGATGTAAACAAGATTATCAATGACTGAGTTTTACTAAAATGGAAAAAAGACGAGATATTCCTAGACATGAACAATGCAGCGAGAACGAAAACAATTTACTACCGCACATTAAATAAGGGGGTTCAATTGGAAACGACTGTAAATTAATATAAATGATACTAACCCATCATCCCAGAAATTCTGAGAAAATTTGTTGCGGATTTCCCGGCTGAGGCAAGTCAAGTGACCTTGAAAGTGACTATCACATGAAGTTCCGCCATTATTTGATAACAGCATTTCCGCGTGATAAACGAGGAACCGAAACAAGCAAAGCACTTAAAACGTGGCTCTAATAGATAAGCGTCATGTAAAATACATAGTTAAAGGAAGCCGAATTACTTATTCTAGGAATGGCAGGTGACGGCAGGAGTTAGATTACACCGGCTAAACACTTATATATGATAATTCAATGTCTTCAAATATCTTGCAGGCAATTTGTCACATGATGACACTAGTGGGTGGCGTAATGTTTAACAAGGCGAACAGAGGGAATCAAATTCAAATTCCCAGAGATTTTCTTATATATATCAAAAAAGGAATTTCCAACAAAATTTCCTTCTTTGTTAACGAATTTATCACATAGATACATTCGTTTAGTTTTTAATCTGATGCTGGCAAAAAAAGCATTTACTGATTGTAATGTTCCGCAAAATATAAAAATAGATTTGGAAAAGTTCAAGAATAATTTGCTTGGAGATAACAACATTAATGGAAAACAACGGAAATTAAATAAAAGTGTTATTCTATGGATATTGAGACTAAAATTGATATTAGAGTAAATTTATTTTTAAAAATGTTGGGGGGTTGATTGATACGTAAGGTCTCTTATCCTATAAAGCAAACTTTAGGCAAGACAGAATTATGAAACAGGTATCAAAATGAGGTAAATTTATTTCTCTTCAAAAATAAGAGGGGTGATTGATAAGTAAAATTTCCAATTCTATAAAAAAAAAACTTTTAGACCAGATCGAATAATGAAACTGGTATCAAAATGAAGTCAATTTATTTCTCTTTCAAATTAATTACATCTTTCCAGGAACTCCCTAAAATAGTTCTAACAAGTATAGCATATATCCTGCGAAAAGCTTTTTTCGTTAAATAAGTTAATTGCTATCTTTTGTTTAATTAAGTGGAAACAACAGAAGATCCCATCTTCCCCTTGCCCTCAGTTCATTGGAATCATCAACTGGCATGAAAATATAAAACAAATACGGGTAAAAAAAAAAAAAAAAACTTTAAAAACAATTATTAATAATGCTTTCTTCATATTTGGAAGAACCTTCTGTGACTGTAGCGAATTTATACATGTTACATAAATTTAATCTTTACGCTTGTGACATAGAGTTCTTTTTTGCGCCTGTGGCATAAATTTCCTTCTTACGCCTGTGACATAAATTTCCCATTTTACGCCTGTGACATAAATATCGTTTTTACACCTGTGGCATAAATTTCCAGTTTTACACCTGTGGCATAAATCTCGTTTTTACGCTTGTGGCATAAATTTCCCTTTGACGCCTGTGGCATAAATTTCCTTCTTACGCCTGTGGCATAAATTTCCTTTTTACGCCTGTGGCATAAATTTCCTTCTTACGCCTGTGACATAAATTTCTTTCTTACACCTGTGGCATAAATTTACTTTTAACGTCAGTGGCATAAATCTTGTTTTTTTCGCCTGTGACATAAATTTCCTTTTTACGCCCGTGGCATAAATTTCCTTCTCACGCCTCTGACATAATTTCTTTTTTAAGCCTGTGATATAAATCTTGTTTTTATGCCTGTGGTATAAATTTCCTTTTAACTCCTGTGACATAAGCTTCCTTTTTACGTCTGTGACGTAAATCTTGTTTTTACGCCAGTTGCATAAAGTCCCTTTTAAGGGCTGTTATATAAATTTCCTTTTTACGCCTGTGACATGAATTTCCTTTTTATGCCTATGACATAAATCTCGTTTTTACGCCTATAACATAAATTTCGTTTTTACGCCTGTGACATGAATTTCATTTTTCAATCTCTCCACATTACACATTTGAACTCGACACAGGTTTTATCTATCCAAGGACACATACACATTTTAATGGGTTTAAATGACTCGACACATCTCGATGACATCATGCAAATAAGGAGAAGAAGTGCGAGAATGCCAGCTATATATTCAACCATTTGTAAAAACAATCAGGATCTGTTGGCATACAATCTCCTGATGTTTGAGATTGAAAATTGGAGGAGGCAGCTCGTAAAAAGAAACAAGCAGACTCACATTAACAACAACACAACAACAATAATGATAATAACCAGCAGGTCACGTGTAAATTATTTAATGCTGCCCTCTATGCTTTTCGATCCATGGCTATTCCCAGGCGGATGTAAGAAAAGTGACGAAGTCACTCGGAAAAATACTGAAATGTCCTCAACAGATTGTTAGGTCTCTGAACATGATTTAACCCCTCACTACAAGAAACTGCCTTGATCTAAGATGATCCACCTGCAATTCTCCCTTCCCTGTGTCACAAACTCTTTTTGTCTCTCTCTCTATATATATCCCTCCCTCTTTTTCTTTTACTATGTCCCTCTCTCTTTCTATTAGCCACTCAAATCCACCCTGTCTGTGTCGAACTCTCTTTTTCTCTCTCTTTATCCCTCTCTCTTTTTCTTTTACTATGTCCCTCTCTCTCTATCTATTTGCCACTCTAATCCAACTTCTGTATGTGTTTACCTCTCTTTTACTCTCTCTATATCCCTTTCTCTTTTTTTTTATTATGTCCCTCTCTCTTTCTATTTGCCACTCCACTCCACCCTCGCTGTGTTGACCTCTCTTTTTGACTCTATATATCCCACTCATAGTAAAAGAAAAAGAGAGAGGGAAATAGAGAGAGAAAAAAGTGAGTGTGACAGAGAGAGTGGGAATTGGAGTGTCAAATAGAAAGAGAGAAGGACATAA